GATCATAGGTTAATCCCTTCTTAATATGTGACACCAAGAACCTTTTAGGTTGGCTGATGGTAGTTGGCATCGCCTTTTTACTGAGTGCATCAGCCACTAAGTTAGCCTTTCCAAGCTTTTACTCCATGCTAAAATCAAACTCTAAAAAAAAATCCTACCATTTAGCTTGTATGAAAGATAGCTTCTTCTGAGTTTAGAAGTAGCTTATTATAACATTATCGATTTTAACCATAAATTTAGATCCTAATAGGTAATGTCTTTATATACATAAATAGTGCACCACCACTATCATATCTTTTTCTTGGATCATGTATTTATGTTTGGTCTCTTTGAGTTTTCGACTCTCAAAAGCAATAAGATGATTCTTTTGCATTAGCACCCCTCCAATGACAAAGTCTAATGTGTCCATATGCACCTTATACAAGTTAGTGTGATTAGGTAAAGCAAGAACAAGCCTTTTAATCACTATATGTTTTAGTCGATCAAAAACTTGTTAATAGTCCTGACTTTAATTTGACACTCTTCCCTTTTTAATCATATCTGTTAATAGTGTGGTAATGGTGAAATAGCCTTTGATGAAGTGCTTGTAGTAGTTCACTAACCCAAAGAATGATCTCAGTTCCATAACCTTAGTTGGCGGCTCCTAATCTAGTATAGCCTAGACTTTGCTTCCATCCATTCGGATTTTGTCACCTTCAACAATGTGGCCTAAGAACGACACTTCCCTCTAAATAAAAAAATATTTTTCTTTTTTCACGAATAGTTCATTTTCTTATAATACTTGAAACACTTGCCTAAGGTGCTCCACATGCTCTTCCAATGATAAACTATAAATCATAATATTGTTAAGAAACCACAATAAAATAATCTAAGAATGGTTGCAATATCTTATTCATTAAGGTGCAAAATATGGCTAGTACATTGGTCAAGACGAAAGGCATTACCAAGAACTCATAAGATCTATATCAAGTAACACAAGCTATCTTAGACTTATCTCTCTTAGCAATTTTGACTTGTTAGTACCTTGATCCCAAGTTTAGCTTGGTGAATCACCTAACATCTCCAAATTGGTCAAACAAATTTGCAATGAGTGGGATTGGGTACTTGCTCATCACTGTCAACTTGTTCAGTGTCCTATAATCTATGTATAGTCATAAAAACCCATCATGTTTTTGTTGGAACAACACTAGAGCACCAAATTAGGCTTTTAATGGTTTGATGTAGCCTGCATCAATAAGCTCCTTGAGCATTCTTTGTAACTTCTCCAACTTTAGGGGTGACATTTGATATGAGGCCCTGGCTGGTAGAATAACATTCAACATCAGTTCAATTTTGTGATCCATCTTTCTCTTTGGTGGCATCCCCTTAGGCATTTCAACAGGCATCATGTATTTGAATTACTCCAACATTTTTAGTAGTTTCAAGGGGGTGTCAACACTATTCTGGTTAGACTCTTCCATCTTCAAGGTTGCAAGAAAAGTTTTTTCATTCTTATTAACTCTTTTGGCCAACTATATGGTAGATAGCATCTTAGTCTCTAACCTTAATTCTTGTCTCACTAGTACAATGCATGGGAATTAATGGTCTAATATGCAAATACAATTGGCAAAAAACACCTCAAGGGCACTAATACAATCAAAAAATTCTAAACCAACTATAAAATCATAATCATATAGAGAAATTACCTCAACTGATTCTTGATATTTTCACTCTCCAAGTTATAGCTCTATTTCATGTGTTATGCCAATTGTTGGGACATTCTTAGAGTTAACTGTTTTAATCATGCTAACCTTTTTTTATACTTTTAGGTCTAGTTTTTGTACTGTATCTCTAAATATGAACAAGTGAGATGTTCTTGTGTCAATGAGTGCATTCAATTTCTTACCTGCAATTATCATGTCTATAAACATTAGTCATTTTTGCTTATGGCACCCCTTGGCCTAGATTGAATTTAGCACAATTGAGCCAAGTTTCATGGTCTCCTTCTTTAGCTTTTCATTATTCTTTTTGTTGATGGCAGATAGCTTGGTTTTCTTGGTGCACTCTCTTGACAAGTGCAAACCTTCACAAATGTAACAAGTCGATGGCTCATAATCTTTATTGTTTTATTGCCGTGGCTTTTATTTCTTAAAAAAAGGTTTGCCTTGACCATTATTGGTCTGTCAATCTTTATACCCATATTTGGATTGTCAATCTTTATCTCTCTTTTTAGGCTATTGGTTTCTACTACTACCTTTTGGCTTGAATGACTCAAACTTTTTTTATGGTCAAATCTCCATCAAAGATTCAATAGCTGTCACGATTTTGGCCAGATCTTTGACATCCTTTTATTGTAACTCATTCTTGGCCTACGTTTTGAGTTCATTCATAAAACCAAAAAGACCTTCTTCTTTTCTAAGGTTTGAAATTTGGAGCATTAGTTCTAAAAATTCTCGAACATACTTCTGCACCTCGCCTCTTTGACTTAGCCTACGAATTTTTGGTCAAATCTCCATCAAAGATTCAATAACTGTCATGGTTTTGGCCAGATCTTTGACATCCTTTTATTGTAACTCATTTTTGGCCTACGTTTTGAGTTCATTCATAAAACAAAAAAGACCTTCTTCTTTTCTAAGGTTTGAAATTTGGAGCATTAGTTCTAAAAATTCTCGAACATACTTCTGCACCTCGCCTCTTTGACTTAGCCTACGAATTTTTGCCTTTGCCTTTTCATTAGCATACTTAGGTTATAACTATGCTTAAACTCTACCTTGAACTCTTCCTAAGTCCAGATAATAGCACTTCCGTGGCTCGCATCATTACACTTATGTTTATACCACAACAATGCAATGTCAACCAAATACATGGAGGATGTGCTTACCTTAGTAGTATCTTTATCGATACCCATGGCTCGAAAGTATTACTCCATTCTCCATAAAAAGTTATCGACATCTTTTGTAAACCTAGCTCTATTATATTCTTTTGGCTTAGGAGCTTTCATTCAAGCCTTAGTTGTTACAACTAACACATAATTCCCAATAGCTGCCTTGTATACTATGAGCTCTCTTTTGAGCTCTTGCATCTGTTTGTGTATCGCCTCCAACATGGCCTCTAAAACTTTATTCTTCTAGATGAACATGTTGATGGTTTGGTTGAAGACACCATGGAATCTTTCTTTGATCTCTTTTTCAGTCTCCTTAAACCTCTCTCTAAAGTCTAACACTATCACCTTCACCTTGGCTAAGTAGCCATCCAGGGTCAACATCATGTCTTTTGAGCTAGCCTTTTTTTTTTCTTCCATGAGTTAGCTCATAGACCTTTGGCTGTTGACTACCAACATCACTATGAGATGCTATTTCCTTGAACACATTGAATACGAATTGAACACAACCTTGAAATGGAACATGCTTTAATACTAACTATCACGGACTTAGAACTTATGCCAATGCTTCATGCAACTTTAGGTTGGACTCTCTCCTTATATGCCTAAGTCAGCCTAAAACATCTCGAAGAGTGAGTATTAAAAAAAAAACGCACTCTAAAGTTAGAAAAGACTAGAAAGCAATAGATGCTTGAAAATGCTATAACTTGTATTCACTCAAGTGTTCTATACATCAAATAAAGATGGAAAAGACCTCTATTTATAGTTGAAGCCCCTATGAATCAATGGCCAGGATTGACTCAATCCAATGGTTATTACAAAATCCAAGATCACAAAGAGATTACATGAGATATGCATCAAGAGTTTGAATTATGTAGGGACTATCCTATCTTTAGAAGTCGCCAGATCCTTCTAGAAAGTTCAATCTATTGGGTTTGCTTAGGTTTGGTGCTCTGTTGGGTCTGCGAGGGCCTGGTGTACCCACACCTAAGCCTAATCTACTTGCGCCAGGGCTTGATCCATTTGGGGCTCTTCTAAAAGCGTTAATCTTAATTTGGGGAGCTTGTGCTGCCTTTTAAGTGGTTTTTATGCTTGTCTGTGCATTCTGTCGTTCCTATTGGGAGCCCAGGGCTTGAGCCCTCATCATGGGTGCTTAGGCCTCAGTTTTATCCTTGTGGGGCATGACACTTGCACCTTAATCAATTTTTTTTATAAAGAAAGTTGTATTTTGTAATAAGAAAAAGGGTTATAAACGTTGAAATATGAATTCTAAATTTATTAGATGTTATTTTTTAAAATTAATTATATAAATTAATTGACTTAAATTTTGAATTCTAATAAACTTTCTTTTTAATACAAATTAACGATGAATTCCATTGAATTTCATCAGCTCATAAAATTTCGATCAAATCCAGTTTTTTTTTACCATTTGAATTGATTAGCTTACTTAGCTGGCACCTTGACGATCCTTTTGCTCGTAATAACTCATCTATACTACGTTAAAAAGGCTTTTACCTTATATATATTTTTTGTTTTGCTATAAGAGTTACATATTCAATCAAGCGATGTTAATTAAATTAATGAAAGATAAACAAATCGAAGGAAAGTTATACATATTGGATTGAACATTGAGAGCATAAATTTAAGAGATACTTAAGCAAATTGATCATGATCATTGCATTTTACAAGGTTCAGACAATGGCATAGTACTATTACGGCTTGCTTTCATTTTCATCCAATTATATGGTTATACTACTTTCTTACACTTAATATCGCAGTGGGCAGCCTTACACATAAGAGTCCGGTACCCATAAATGAGCTTTGTACAACATTAATGTCTTATGAACGTACCTGAAAAAATTTTATTTTGGACTGAAATTAAATGGGTAGTCTGCTATTCTTTTTTAAAGAAGAGACTATAACGATTGGTGGGCTAGGGGGTTGGACAACGTTTTCCGTTAGGAATAGTCGACAAAATAATTGGGTTTTCTGCATTGACCAATAAAAAGCAGTGTTGACGTTGAACCTTACCCTACGTTTTTTAGAATATTTTTCTTCGTACAGCCACATACATAACGGCGTTATTAGCCGTCAGCCCGCTATATATAGACTCCATTTGCTCTATTCTATTCTCTCATTATTCAACGTTTCTAGTTTTGAACTGCTTTTCCCTCTCTCTCTGTCTCTCTTCTTTTTTTTTTTTTTTAATATTCAGCTCGTTACTGTAAGTTTTTTGTTATCAGTTATCAGTCAGTTTGAGTAAAATTTGTTTTTTGGTTTTCTCGAAATGGGGAAGAAAGATCAGTTGAGAGCTGAAAAAGTGAACGAAAGAGTTGAAGCTGTTCTTCAACTTGTTAGGAAACAGTCTCCATTAACAGTGAAACAGGTAGGTTTTTTCAGTTTTCCAGATCTCTATGTCACTAAACAATTATGAGGGAGGATTTCATAAAGTTTTTACTGCTTTTTTTTTTTCCATATAGTGCTTCAAACCATTCATCAATGGTTTCATAAAAAATCACATAGCTAATCATTATCTCGTATTTGGGACAGAAGATTCCGCAGTAGCTAGCTGCAGCTGGGGTTTTCAGGCTATTCTGATGTGATTTATTGTATGTTTCAAACAGGAGAAATTCTGCAACAACGCTTGCGTCGAGAGGTTTTTAAGAGCTAAAGGTGATAACGTGAAGAAGGCTGCTAAGCACTTACGAGCTTGTCTTTCTTGGAGAGAGAGTATTGGCACTGGTAAACCTTTTTTCTTTCTATACCTTCTTCTCTTTTTATAAGCCTCTTCTTTTATTTTTATTTTTATTTTTTGTTGTTTTTATATCAAAGAATCTTGCTTTTTCCATTTCAACTTGAACGTTAAAAAGTATATATATTCTCTAATCATTAAAGCCACTGACTCAAAGGATTTCACTTTTTCTTTTTCTGGGTTTTTCTTTTATTTTCTTATTTTTTCATAACATAAATTTTCTTTTTAATTTGTTATATATATATATATATATATATATATATAGAAAATTTGATAGCAGATGAGTTCTCAGCTGAACTAGCTGAGGGAGTTGCTTATGTAGCTGGTCATGATGAAGGATCCAGACCTGTCATGGTAATTTTCAACACCCATATTTTGATTTTTCCTCTAAGCTGATTTTCTCGAGAATCGAAGCTAGAAATCATTTCTAGGAATTGAAAATTTTGTTACAGATTTTCAGGATCAAACAAGATTACCAAAAGTTCCACTGTCAGAAACTGTGAGCACTTAACAAAAATTCGTGTCTTCTTTTTCTTGTTAACTGACGAAAACAATATCTGAATTTTGTTTGTTGTTTTTTCCTTTGTCATTTTTTTAGGTTCACTCGTTTGCTGGTTTTTACATTGGAGGTTGCTATAGCAACCATGCCCAAAGGCATCGAACAATTTGTTCTACTCTTCGATGCAAGTAAGTTTTCACAATTCAAATGACTACAGTACCCTTCCAAAAGCCAATGAAACTTTGAAATTCGAGTTATTTTTTGGTCATTTCGAGTTCTGTGTCGTCATTGCACGCTGCCAAAGCAAACTATGGTGTACCAAATGGGAAAAAAACCCAAGACAGGCAACTTTGTCGAATCACCGGCAGGTTCTGAGACAACATCTGTTAATGTCCGGACAGCCCCTTCAAGTGTCACAGTCCATCTTCATTTTTGTAGGGGTATTATAGGGGTATTACCGGGAATTGAAGTTGTTTAACACCATTATTCTTTCCTACAATTGGTACGTCTCTAGCAGTGGAGATCAGGACGGAATTAACTTTTTAAAGCTTTTATCTCGTAATTATTCCCTGCAAATGTCAGGCTTTAATATTTTTAATCCTAAATTAGTAAAACAAAAATCAAAGAAATTTGAATTTATTTTATTGTGGGGGAATTGGTGATAATTTTGAGTATTATTTTTTTTTGACAGGCTTTTTCAGATCAGCATCGGCTTTTATGAACTTATTGTTGGCAGCACTGAAAATTGTGGCCGCGTACTACCCAGGACGACTTTACAAGTCTTTTGTCATCGACCCACCTTCGCTCTTTTCTTATCTTTGGAAGGTTATTTCAAAACTCTGCCCCCTTCTACGCTAGTCATTGTTGTGTACCACAACTTTTTCATCTCTTAAAAATAATAGTGAAACGTCTAAAATTGTTGAACCTGCAAATGCTTCTGTTTTCATCATCACAGTACCTTAAGTCAAATCATCTACACTTTCTTTCTCTTGGTGGGTCCTTTATATACCATCTCGATTATGGGATAGCTTTGAAATTATGTGAGTATTACCATGTTTGCCAGTTCAACAAGTTACATTAATTCCATGCATTTGAAAAACTTGGCGAGTCTAGAATAATTAGGTCCATGTCTAGCGCAAAATTAATCATTCTCTTCTTTTGATGGTTTCATTATGTTATAAAAAGTGATTATGATTATGCTTACATACTAGTGAAATGTAAAGACAATTGAATTTGATCAATCTTGACATTCGTAATTATCTTTTATTTAATTTTCATCAAATCACGTTATATGGCTTTACTAGCCCTTGATCATGTTCAGTGAATATAATATCTGCTTAAATTATATTGCATATGAATTTAAAATTCAATTCAATTAATTTATATAATTATTTTAAAAAGTAGTAAATTTAAATTTTAAAATTAAAATTTTTTTTTTATTTCAAATTATGATATTTTTTATAAAAAAAATTTGTTGTAGTTTTATTATTGGGATTAAATTTAATCAAGTTTACGAGTGATTACGCTTTTGTGTGACGTTATTTTGCAGGGTGTTCGTCCATTTGTCGAGCAATCATCGGCTACGATGGTGGTAGCATCACTAGATTTTGAAGAATCACTGGAGTTTAACGACTTCACATCATACCCAAGAGCATCATCTCTCCGGTTTGTCCCCTCGTCCATGAAATCAACGGCCAAGATCGGCTCTTGTTCATCCTCCAGATTCTCTTTCACCGTATCACATCATTTGGACTCTCTCAAGCCCTGGTACCTCACCATGACTGACACGTCATCATCCAAAGTTGGACCCACGAGCCCATCCCCCCTTGGCCCAGCTTTGATCTCTCCGCTCAATGCCCGATCCCTCTCGTTTGCATCACCGGCTGCTAGGACGCCAAGTGGCAACATCAGTATGAGGAAGAGCTTATTCCCATCTACACCTCTACCACAGCGTAGCAAAGCCAGTGAATTCATCAAAGCCAACCGTCCACGGACCCCACGGCCATCTTTCCTCCAATCACCTGCCATGTTTTTCCGAAGGGATTGCCACGTTAGCACCAAGATAGAAAAGTCTCGCGAATCGTTCTTGCCCTTCTTGAAGTTCTACAGGAGGCCGTACGATGAGATGATTTACAGGTCAATGATGCGGGCCCCATTTGGTGGCCTAATTTCCATCGTTAAGCGTCGCCACATGTCGGTATCACAGCGCTTCTAGACCATAATAACAAAGAAAAAAAAAGAGAGAACATAGAGCTATTATATTTACATTGACTTCAAGTGTTAAATAACACTACTAAATTACTACTACTAATTTGATTAATTATTTGTTAATGTCATGTTCACGTTGCTCCTCGTGTGATTATTAATTTAATTAACACGAGAAAGAGAAAATGAATCAATTGAAACAATTTATTGAAGGAGACTACGTGCGAGGTGGGATGTGAATTTTTGTGCTTAAATTTTTGTTTAATCAAAGTCAGCGTTTCGTGCTTTTGAGGAGAAGCAAAGCATTGGAAGAAGACACCGTGGTCGAAACGTTGAACATTGCATTGGAAATCATTTACCAATGAAAAACAAAGCGTTGAAAAGAAATATATATATATATATGTTTTTCAAATGCTTTAATATTTCACGGTTGATATTAATACTATATTGTTTGCCGTAAGTTTTGGGAATATGTGTGGTTTTATGTCGTTGTAATAAGTCAAACTCAAAACAAAGAGCTTCAGATTCTTTGCTTGTATGAACTATGAAAGGAGAAATTTTGAGAAGAGATATTGGTTTTGGGAAGTGTAAAAAGAATAAAAAATACTGAAAAGAAAAATAGCAGAGATGGGCGAGTTTTGTCGTGTAAGAGAGATGTCGTGAAGGACTCAAGGTAATTTTGTGTTTGGAATTTTACTACTCATTTCTTTGGCATTGATACCATTTTGAAAACGGGCAATGAAAGTGGACAAATGGGAGGTACTGACTATTGGGAGAGAGATACAGAGTGAGTGTTGGTGTTCGGAGTAAATTCTTTGCTGTTTGCAGTTCGAAAGTGGATCCTATCCTCTATAATTATTATAACATAATTAATTAATTTTAATTCAAAATTATATATGATTTATTAAAATTTTATATAAAATTCAATGACAAATTCTTAAATAAATTTTTTAATATAATTAAATAATTACAATTATTATAAAAAAAAATTGAAAATGAAATGTTCTCGTTTGAAGGTGACACTTTCATTTCATTTGTATTTTAGAGGCATATTTCCAAGGAATGGATTTTATTTACTCATGAGCAGTGTGATGCGTCTGTAGTCTCCAGTCTATGGTCTATGCTCCTGTTTATTTTCAGAGATTGGAGCATTCCTTTTTTTTTTTTTTCCTTTTTAAGTGGAATTATCTTTTAATTTCAACTCTACACTATCATTCTGCTGTGATTTTGATTCTGTTTTTGTCTTTTTTTTTTTTTTTTTTTGCAATATCTGCATTACCATCGTTCGTTACCAGCATGAATGTTTTGAACTATTTCATTTTCATGTCATTTTCTTTCTTTTTGTCACTTGCTTTGTAGTTTTAACTTTATTTTTCATCAAGTTGACAAATACAAAAACATTATTTCATTGATGATTAAGGACTGATATGGTTCTTGATCAAGCTGAAGTATCACACTGTTTAAATAGTAAGACATTCACAAACATAAAAATTCATTAGATTTGGAACTGAAGTCGGCACTCGCATCGAATAGTACTAGTAAAAAATTGGAATATGATTAAAAGGTTTTAAATTTTTGAGGTAATGTAATTATGTTTTATTATATGTGGGTTTAATTTAATTTTAAATTAAATTTTAATTTGTTGATTGATTATTAATTTTTAATATATTAATGTAGTACTTAATTATAATCATAAATTTTGTTCCTTGTAATTTGTAATTTCATAAAAATGAGATGCCAGTGAGAACTGTACTTGAAAAAGAATTTGAAACCGTCCTAGGAAGTTGGAAATCCAAATTTACCAACATTTTTCTCTTTAAATAGGCTATGGTAAGTCCATTGGTCATGGGTCTAAGCAATCCAGCGGATGTCTTCTTCAAGAACAGCAGCCCATTAAATTATACAAAATCCACGTGTATTATAGTTTATATTTTGATGATGCAGGTCAAAGGATCAAAGCTCATGTTTAATGTATAGAATTATTGATAAGATATGATAATAATTCTTTTATATCATGTTTAGTTTGTATCTAAAGGTAAAGATGAGGATTGTAAGGAGGATTAATATTATTTTGGTATATGATTATTCAATCCTTGCCAAGTGAAAATGATTACTTTTAATCCATGAGATTAAACTTACATGTCTAATTATACCCTTAAAAATTATATTAACAATTTAAATTGTATAAACTTCAAAGAAAGATAATTTTAGCAAATAAATAAATTATTCTATCATAATCATTGTATACATCAAACACAAAATAAGATAATATTATTTAATCTAATCTTATTAATGATATTATCTTATCCTATTATAATATTGTGTACCAAACATAACCAAAGATGATTAGATTATTAAAGGAAACAACAATTTTTTTATCATTAATTTTTTCACTCTTTATCCATCTAGGGTGAATTCCAAAAATATAAATAACTAATGTAAGAAGATCAAGTTGAGACACTTGAGCTTTGCATATGAATTGTTGATATTTGCAAAAGGTAACAAGGATTCAATCATTGGGATCAAGGAAGTCACACAAGTTTTCTGCTAGTATTCAGGGTAGCCGCTCAATTGTGAAAAGAGGGAGTTGTGTGTCATTGGAATAAAAAGGGATAAAGTTCAATTAATTCAATAAGCCATGGGGTTTAAGGTAGGATCGTTGCTAGTTAGATACTTGGAAGTTCCTTTGATTATTGTCATAATGTGTAAGTTTAAGAATTAGTTCATTAGACAAAACATATAGAGTTATTATTAATTTTTTTTTATCTAGATATGATTGACCATTTAAGTAAATTTATCCATTCTAAAGAGATTTTAAACTTGATTAAGGATCTTTAAAAAATATATTCTAATCTCCTAAATAGAATTTGGTTTGGGAGTTTGGTTATATGTAAGGAAGGTTATAACACCCCATAATGCTAACAAATTGGTACCAATAAATCTTAAATTATCTTTTTTGCCTTAATTAATATGGTCATAACTTATTCTTATTTTTATTATTTTTGTTAATTTTAATATTTAAATATTGAAAATATTTTTAAGTTTTTTCAACATCTTGGTTGACTTTTAAAAAAAAAAATTCTCATCTCAAGAGTATTCAAGTAATATGCTTGTTTTCTTCAAAGGGCACCATCATCGAAAATTTTATTTATTTTTAAATTTAAATATATTTTAATTGTACAAAAATTAATAACTCAAATATTTCATATGTAAAAAAATAAAATAAAAAAAAATATATGCATAAAAAAAAAAAAACAAACAACAAAGTATGATTCTTGAAACTCGAAAATGCTAGCAATAATCAACGATAACTACTACTAAAAAATTTTGCAACTTTGCCATATCTACCTATCAATTGCTATCTATTCTTATGTGTGCTTGTGTGGGTTCTTTATAAGGACTTAATTCTAAACCAAATGGAACAAAAACTTCTTTCGATTTACTTTCACAAAGATTTGGGTTTTAGAGTTTAACTCTAATCTTGTTCGAGTTAGACTTGGTAATCTAAAACACTGTATAGTGAAACGACACAAATATTATATAAAAATATGGCTTACAATTTTAGTAATAGCTAAATATGGATTTAACAAAATAAAAAATATATATTTTATATTTTCGTGTTGACATGAATTATGACATGTAATTTTCGTATAAAACATAATACGAATATACAAATTTTAGTATTTTACACAATACAAATACACGAATCACTAGGTCGAATTCAAGTTTTTCCCAAAATTCAAGTCAAATAAAATATACATTTGATTAAGATTTTAGTCCTGACAAAAAATGTAACAAGACTTTTAATTCCGACATAATTTAGAATTTTAATAAGTTTTCAAACCCAACTCTTTCCTTTTATAATTTTGAGATCTCTCTTTTTTTTTTTTTTGAATAACCAAAATGAAATAAAAGATAATGAGAAATAAATAAAATAAAATAATTGAAAACAATTAAATCCAACTAAAACCTCAAACTAAATAAGGTGTTTATAGTTGCCCTTTTTCTATATATTTTCTATGAAATTTTATAAAGACATAAACATCCATTATGTTCGAGTCCTAGTCTATCCAAACAGATTTTGTTTCTTATGAAAAGACTCCTTTAAACAAAGACTCGATAACTTTTGAAAAATTTAAAAGGCGAATCTAAACAGAGGCAATATAACTTTAAAATTTGGAAAACTCTTCAAACTAGAGGTAGTGAAACTTTTAAAATTTGGAAAAGCTATTCCCACTTTAGGTGATGTAACTTTAAAATTTAGAAAAGCTCCTCAAAGAGACAATGTAACTATTAAAATCTTAAAAGGCTTATCTAACTAGAGGTAATAAAACTTTTAAAATTAGGAAAAGCTATTCTAATCAGAGGCAATAAAAATTTTCAAATTTAGAAAATTTTGGTGGAAGTCATGCATTTGACTAAGCTAAAATTTGAAAATGAAATGACCTGTACTGAGCCAAAATAAAAAAATGAAATGACTTAAACTGAGCCAAAGTTCAAAATTGAAATAACTTGAATTAAATTTAAGTTGAAAATGCAATGATTTAGATTGACTTGAAGTTGGAAAATGCAATGACTTGGACTGAATTGAAGTTGAAAATAAAATGACCTAGACTGAGTTGATGTCAACAAATGAAATGAAATATCTTGAAAACAATACTTGAAGGTCTTTGTGATTATGCCTTGAGGTTTTACCTATGAGCTCATTAGAGATTATGCCTTGTGGTCTTCGAAAATTATGCTCGGACGTATTACAAATCATACCTAGAAGTCTTTGAAATTATGCTTTGAGGTCTTACAAATTATACTTATCTTTGAAAAAACTCCTTTAAACAAAGGCTTACAACTTTAAAAGGAAAATTATAACATTGTTCTTTTCATGTGCCAACATAATTGGACTTAGACATGTTATCATTTTTAAGAATCTCAACATTTCCTTCTAATATCTCTCATTTCTTTCTCTATCTCAAAGCTTACAAGAATGCTGATGTCAAACTTAAAGGAACATTTCAAATTTAAGATAAATTAAAAGCAAGAATAAAAATGTAAGAAAGCTTGAATTGAATTGAAAACAAACTAGAACTTGTATTTAAAATAAAATTGAAATTGAACTTTGTTTGAACATAAAATAACTTAAAGAAAGCTTAAAAACATGAAAAGTAAAGAGTAAGAAAACTTAAAAAAGCTAAATACTTCAACTTGGGCTATAACCTCAAACCTTATTTTAATTTTTCCCTAAACAAATGATAACTATTTACAGAACAAAAATACAAAGAATCCCAAAGTTAGAAGGATAGGTAGGAGACGGCTAGGGCTTTTTTTAAAACAAAATAATGTAATTACTTTTAAACTTTTGGTAGC